AAGCGTGGCCAGCCACATGAGCACATCTTACGTGTCGTGGCGGCCGCAACACGCTCCACGCACGGCCGACGACATTGTCTCACGGGTTGTTGCCGAACTTCCTTCCGACCCAGCTGCTGCTCATCTCGGCACAATTGTGCATCGCTGCATGATGCACGAGCCCCTAACCATGAGATCAACGCACCCGTGGAATCTTAGGGTTTGGGATTTTTAGGGTTTGAGATTTCGGGTTTAGGGTTCAGGGTTTTGGATTCAGAGTTTAGGGTTTCGGGTTTAGTTGGACATACAAGCCGGAGGTTCCCCAGATGACGCGTTTAAGCTTTAGGGTTTCGGGTGGTTAATTTATTAAGCTATGACGTTATTTATAGACAGGCTCGAGAAGCTTTGTATATTTCGCATCTATAGATACATTTATTTTGTAGAAAAACGAATATGAATTTAATACTATATATAATTATCTCATTGATCTTCTATGCTAAGATTATTAGAGTATGTATAGAAACATATTTATGCTTTTTTCTTAATTATATATTTATATAAATGGGATTTTCCGAAAAGCAGGCTGCTTTTGTTTTGGGTCTTTATAATAAGGATCTTATTATTTAGGGTATTAGATTAGGGTTTCTTATTTTCGGAAATATCTAAATTAAGAAGATTATTGAAATTTCTTTAAATATTTAGGTTTGATCTGATTTTATTTATCTATTTTTTTCTCGAATTCGATAAATATATAATTTGTTAAGGAGAAATATTGAAATATTAAGAAATAATAGGAGAAGAATAAATGTATTTGAAATATAAAATTTTAGATCTAATAATTTTGAAAAGGTTTTGAAGATATTAAAAATAGATTCTTTTCGAAAATAAATAGATATAAATTATATTTTTCTAAATTATTTTATATATTAAGAAGATTTAATTTTTATTCTGATTTCTTTATTTAGTAATATTTATAGTATATTATAAAATTTTAATATTCTCTGGATTTATTTCTAAACGATAATATAAAAGTAATTAGATGGGTTCGCTGAAATTATGTGTTAGTATAGATTGATGGTTTGAAGAGTTCGAGGGAAGGAAGGGGAAAAAAAAAGAGGCGATATATAGATTATTTTATTGATATAAAAACTTATTACGGTAATTTTTAGAATTGAATAATTTTTATTTCGGTTTAAAATTTTCCAATTATTTTAATTATGCTGAATTTGTTTAAGAATATATAATGGTAGGCTTTGGGTAATTCTTAATTTAATTTAATTATAATTTCGCGGTCTAAGGGATGTTTTTCTTGAAATAGAGATTGTTTCGTCGAGTGATGATAAGGGTGTTTTGCACAATTAAAAATAAATATATTGCCGAATATTGACTAAATTTCCTATTACTATTTATATGATTGAAATTATTATTAAAAAATTAATTTAAGAATATAGATTGTCGTCGGCCGTGCGTAGAAAAGATAGGTTTATATGGCTGGCCACGCTTTTCGAATTCTATCCCTCTATTATAAGTTATGCATTGACCGAGAATTATGGCAACCGCAAAATTCTAGATTAATTATTTGATTGAAAACGGAATATTCGTGTAATGAGATTTGACCGAACGAAAACCCGCGATCCACTTCTTGGAAACCAAGAAATATGAGATTTCATCTGGCGCGTCGTTAAGACTTACTTTAATGGAGACGAATTATTTACGGGCGATCGTTGGATTAAAAATGAAGGAATAAATAATTATAACCAATTCTATATAGAAATAAGAATTCTAGAATATAGTAGGATAGGTGTGCTCATGTAACGAAAGCAAGTGCAGATTTTAGATCCAGAATGTGATTTTGAATTAATGGGAAAGGATAATGATCTTTTTGGTTAAAATATTTATTATAGGTATATCGATTCGAAGAGGACAGATCAAAATATTTAGGCTGGCAAATTAGTCGGCGATGAATATCATTTGATTGATAATATATTTAATTATGATAGATCAGAGAATTGATTGGCGAATCTAATTAGATATATTAGTCCTAAAGATAAAATCAAAAACCTCAAATAATGTCAATGTCGAATATTATTGATCGAATCATTGGAGGTCTTAATAAAGAACGCAATCTGAGATGATATCATTAAATCTATATATCGATTAAATGCTAATCTTGGACCGAATCTTGAATAAATTTCTCTTATATCTGATCGTAATCGAATGCTCGAATTTCTTATATATTTTTTGGAATAGAATAAATAATAGATAAAATTCAGTCGGGGAGCTCAGATAAATCGGACTCAGATAAGATAAGACTTATATTTAATATGAATGGGAATAATATTCTTAATAGAAATATAATTGAAATTAAGTCGATATATCGAATTGGAGAATTTAGAATTAGATTTGGAAAATATATAAGAAGATTTCAAATTGATAAATCGGATCCAATCCTGATAATTTTCCAATTTCCGAAGATTAAGATCGTTTCTATCCTAATATCTATTATTTTTATTATCTTTATTGATAAATGAATGAAGATCAAGACGATAAGATCTTAGCGATTACCCGTATATTTCAGAGCTTAATTTTTCAAGAAAGTCGGAATTTCAGATTCTTGTTATATGAAATAGTCAATTTAATCTGAGTCATCAATATATTATCAAAAGATTAGATATATTCAGAGCTTTTATCATCAAAAGACTATATATGATCAGAACTTTCTAATCCCAATTTCAATCGATATTATAGGTCTTCCCACTTTTAGTGCCTTAAGAAATATAAGAAATTGGGATATCAAGATTATTAGAAATCGAAAGATTATTATTCTTCTTCCGATTTATTCAACGAAAATATAGATTCGCCTGTAGGAGGCATTTTATGAGCCTGTATTGATCAGAATCTTTAATAGATTATTAAAATTATTAACGGAAAATCTAAAATGGGTATTTGAAAAAAAAGAAATTATGATAGTAGAAGGGATGGGGATGAGGTTGGCGGTCAATCAGACAAAAAGGATCTTGGGATTCAAATTGCTGGCCATATAATTATAGATCGATATCTTATAATCCCATATATCAATGCCACGTCAGGCTAGAAATTACAGTATATCACAAATCCTATATCGATTCTGTTTCCGTCAATTCCTGAATTCAATACTATAGAGGCTCCGAGAAGATTCATTAGATCCAAATAGATGAATATATAATTATCCTAATCGATCAAACAGATCTCTTAATTTGAATTCGTCAAGAACGATTTCATTTCAATTCAAGACGGAAAATTCATTTCCTGTGATATTTGGAAGAACGAAAGTTCTGTCGAGGCCTTTTCGACATCCGTCTTCTAAGAATCAAGATGGAACTGCACGGAGTTAAGAAGAAGGAAGCTCTTCAAGATCCGAAGGATCTTTGGTGAATTATATTCCTAGAAAATATAAATATTGGGAGTTGGCTATCTTGAATCTACCGAATAAAGAATCAAATCCGATCATGAGATCTAATAATTATATGTATAAGAGTAGTCCGACTATAAGTGGTTTGTATTGAGTCATTGGCAAGCAGTATATTCGTCGTCGAAAATTATTAATATAGTAGTATATGAGCAAACTCTATCGATTAGCAAAATTCGTATTTAATCTTATCATATCTTATATTAAGAATTTTGCCAGCCGACTAATATTAACAAATCAATATATAGAATATTATATTTATCATTGCTTTAATTTAAAACCGTTCTTCAGAGATATTCATCAATAAATTTTCGAATACACAAAATTAACAAATAATTTCAAATATATATATTTGTCCAATCTTATTTTATATTAAAGATTCTACTCAAATAATAATAATTAATGTTAGAATATCGGCGGTAATCTCGTCTCATAAATTCTTAATAAAACAGAAAAAATTCGACGAACTTCGAAATATATAATAAGCCTAAATTCAAAAATAAAAAAAAATAAAAAGTAAAATCTATATCTTTAGAAATCTAAATATATTAATTCAAATTATTAGAAACCTAAATTTAGAAATAAATCTAAAAATCCTTCAGAAATAAGAAACCAAAAAAATAAGATAAATAAGAAAATTAAAAAATATATATACCAAGATTAATATAATAGCACGATTCCATCAGAGATTTGGCAAAAAAAATCCTTTAAATAATTATATTCTTTAAATAGAAAATTTACCTCTTTTCATTTATTTATAATTTTTCATCTCTTTCAATTTATCTTTCGCCAAATATCTCAAAGAAAACGAATATCCGAATAGAATTAAAAAATTTCTAAATATATATTAAATATATAAACAAATAAAATATAGTATTTTTCAATCTTAATCTTCGAATTTAATCATTTTCATAGTTCTAATTATTTATTATATATTCTCCAATAGATGAATATCAATTCCATATAATTTTATCTTCAAATCTTAATTTTATAGACTGGTGCAAAAATATATCATATCGTATCATATTCGAATGAGAAATCGAATATATAAAATAATTCGACCGATTCCTAAAAAAGTAGTCTAAGTAGTCATTAGATATTTATATAATGATATATATATATTCATTCATTCATTCATTCGGTATTTCGATCAGGTCAAATTTCAGGAATATTGTTAATCATATCTTCATTTGTGCATGGTCCGAAAGCGCCCCCACGGTTGATATTACGATAGTTCTTCTGTGACGGACGCATCCCGTTTGGCCGACCCCAAACAGCAAGAAATACAACACTATATTTCCAAACATTCTGAAAAGCGGGATGCCTAGAAAGCAAAGCTTGACGAGGGCAGGGCTGGCTAGATCCCTGGAAGACGGCGACAAACTACACTGCACAACAGTGGAATATTTTGATTAGGGAGTTCTCGTCGACTGGAGTTTAAGCTCGATAGAACGAGTGGTTTGGGCCGTGCGCTGTGGGAGTAAATGTTTCAGAAACAAAATCGTATGCGCCAGCCCCTGCCCCAAAGCTCCCATGCTTTCAAAACTGCCTACCTAGTCTCGAGTTCGGCTGCTCACGGTGCTTTCGGAACCTTGCGTGGAGGATTTCGAGCTTCGTCCTCCGTCTCAAGCTTCCGCTTCGACACCAGCGTCGGGGCGTTGAAAAAGGCCCGTAAGCCTGTCACGGCCTTCTGTGGGGTGAGCACTTCTGCTGACTCTGCCTCCGAAGCTGAGGATTGGCTATCCGGCTTCAAGTGATCGTTTCCTCGCTGATCGCCCTTGCCCATGTACTGATGTCGGTAGGCGAGGCGCTGGCATTTGACTCCACTCAAGCTTGTGCCAGCTTTGCCGCTCCCATCTACGGGGCGCCAAAAAAAGGAATGATTCCGCTGGCCACCAAGTCGTGGATGATGTGTCATGCTGAAGAATCTTAGGTTCGACTCCAACAGCATCTCCCCCACGGTTTCCGATAACTTCGGGCCGATGCCAAAACCTTGGTATTCTGGTAGAACTACCATTCGGCTCTCTCTCCGTGTGATACCGCCGCTGTATTGTCCAGGCAGGAGTGCGATGCCATGGAAAGCCACCATCCGATCTGTGGCAGAATCCCGTAGAACGAGGCCGTGGAAGACAGAGGGAAGACCTCCTTGCATGTAATGATGCTCCGCAAAGAACTTCGAGAACACTTCTTGGCTGTCTCTGTTAGGCCTCAGCACTCGGAGTTGCAGATGAAGCTTTGGCTGTCGAAACTCTTCGATATGACCAGCTTCCACCACTTCCTGGAGCTGCCGAGGCCGTCGTGCGATGCGGACTGCACCAGACTTGGACTGGAGAACCCAGTCTACGTCGAGCCAGTCGGCGACGTCTTCATGAACTGTAGCTACGATGATCTGTGCTACGTTGCCCTGGCGAACATACTCTGAGAGGCGCAGGCAGACTTTGTGAGCAGTGGCACGATCTAGTACTGAAGTGAACTCGTCGAAGCAAACGATGTGCGAACGACTGCCGGCCATTCCGATCGTCCGTGCCAGGGATGCTAGATGTTGCTCTCCTACTGAAAGTGTGCGAAATGGCCGGGCAACCACGTCTGCGTGCAGCCCACATACCTCTGGCAGTAGGTATCGGGAGCTCCGGGAACAACTTATGGCGAATACGCTTCCAAGACTCATTGGGTCATCGTCTAATATGCCCCAAAACCCTATTCCAACTACCAAAGCCCCTACAGCCCCTACATGGCATTCACACCCAAAATCCAATCCCTCCGGGGCCCTATTCAGACCTCTGCCTGAGATCATAGAGAAATTGCTCCACCCATGTTTTGAAAGGATCCTTCTATCGGAAGCCTTAAGCCTTTACCCCCTAACCCTGAGCCGCAAACCCTAAACCCCTTAAGGGCTGTGAAGGCTCCGGGCACCAGAAATCGAAGCTAAATCCCAGCCTTGGACAGTGCTTCGGCTTCGCTGCGGTTTCTCGCCAGCTGAGACAGAACGGCGGCCTCCCCGAGAGAGAGGTTTAGGGCCTTGGGGAAGTTTGGGGTTTAGGGCTGAGGTCCAAAGTGAGGGGAGGAGACTTGCGCAGCACCCCCTCCCCCAAAAAATCCACGCCGCTGTGGGGGCGGTTTAGGGGTGTCTAGATCTACCCAATGCGGTAGGGCCGCCTTAGGGTCTTGCTTGGATTTGTGCTCGGGTGCGCCATCCCTCTCGCAGCATTCATACCAACACTCGTAGCTTCTCTCGTGATCTGAGAAAAGATAGCAGACAAAGAATCAGACCATGATGTCCAGGACAACCACAGTAGCAATAATCTCTCAAGGATGAAAGCTATAATCACTCCTTGACATTGACCTTGACAATAGTGCTTGCCCAGAGGTACGCATTCGTTCTTGCAGCTTTGTGGAAGCTACTTTGGCACGTAAATAGAATCACCTGGGCCTGCTGGGATGCCTAAAACGTGAACCCAACGGGAATCCAGCAGAGTGAGCCTAAGCCCGACGTCATACAGGGAGTGTGAGACTATCCTCAACTCCAAGCCCATGAGGCAAAAGCCACAGGTAACTTGCGGCAGCCTTACTCCCCAAGTCCAAGCAAGCTTCAGGCCGTAAACGATCTGCTGCAATTCTAGACAGGTTCGTGTCTCAAGCTCACTTGTCTCAGGTGAAGGCGAAGACCGCGGGTTTGGGGCCGAGGGTTTAGGATTTATATGGTTTAGGGTCAGGGCTTAGAGTGAAACTCATACTCCTTTGCTAAAGAATAACCTGGAATTGAGAAGCAACAAGAAGGGATAGTGAGGCCAGTCGGACGCCATGAGCGATCATGCAAAGCATGTAGAGGCTGCACGCAGGCATGCAACAAACCCATCTATCCCCGGCTTGGGGCTTGGGGTTTGGTGATTGGGGTTTAGGGTTTAGGGCCTTTTGATCGAAGGGCAGAACATGACACGAGACACTATGCCCAATCCTGAACCACTTTAAAGCCTTATTCGCTAATCCGCAAGTGCCAAGCCTCAACCCTAAATCCTACAGTCGAAATAGACTTGTAGCACCCGAAACCCTACCCCTTCCAAGGATTCAGAAAAGGGATCCACAACAGGGAGCCCTAAAAAGGAAGTGTTTTTGCCCTACAGAACCGGTATAATTTAACCCTTTATAGATCCCTTTTCCTGTCCCTTGAAGGAACCCTGCATCCTGCGTCCTTTCTGGGTTTGGTGCCTCACTGCTCCAACTGCTGAAGAGCTCCAGCGACTGACCTCCCGAGATCTGTCGAAGCAACGTGCCTCAGAGCTGCATCAGGTCAGAAAGATTTGAGGTTTCGGGATTGGGGCTTAGGAGTTCAAAGTACTTGGGGTTTACGGGCTAATTATTGTTGCTTGAGTTTAAGGGCCTAGGGCTTGCGAGCTAATCTTCGGTAGGGGGGCTGAGGGTTTGGGGCCTAGGTTTAAAAGCTTGCAGGCTTGGGCTTGTTTGGGATGTAAATGGGTTTGGGGTTCTGCCGGCAATGTTTCAGACAACGGGTTCGGATTTGGTGTAAGGAATGGGACTTGGGGCTCAGAGTTGAGGCTTTTCAGGGTTTAGGGGTTTAGGGTTTAGGGTTTCCACTGATCTCCGAATGAACGTCCCGCAAGCTCATTAGAGAAAGGCCTTTGCGAGCAAATAGTCAGCGATGTTACGTTCTTCTGCAAGGTTGCCGAGTATATCTATTCGAAGTATAGTACCCTATACCCTAAACCCTCTAAGCCGTATAGAACCCTACAGCCCAAATCCCCAGGCTTCGAGGCTCTGAAGCAGCCTTAAACGCTGCCTCAAACCCTAAAACCCAAAACCTCTCTAAACCTCTAACTAGCCCCTGAACATCCCGACACCCTGAACCCTAAACCTCTAAACTCTGGACATCCCGAAACCCTGAACCTCTCAAAGCCCTGAGCCGTCAGCACCCCCAAACCCTAAACCCGCAAAGCGCGCAGGCCCTGAACCACAAGCCACACCCAATCCCACCGAGCCATAAGGTTTAGGATTGAGGGTTTAGGATAAATGCAGGGGTCCTTTGGGGGGGCCTTTGCTACTAGGAGCTGTATTCCCTGGTGGGTCGTATCTACTCAGAGTACACTCTACGCAACTCTCCAGGCCCTCTAAAATCCGGGATTCCCCGGAAATCGGACCTGTAGGGAGACCCCTCCATCCTCTAAACCCTTAGACACCGAAGGCCCAAGAAAGCCCAAACAAGAAACCCGAAACCAAAACAGGAGCCCCCAAGCGCCCTTTAAGGGAACCTTACAGTTCTCATTAGAGTGATAGTTTGGGGCTACAGCAAAGGGCAGTTGGGGGGTCTAGGTAAACCCTAAACCCTAAGCCCTAAAACCCTAAAACCCTAAACCTAAACCCTAAAACCCTAAACCACTGAGGGGTCATCAGTCGAGCTGCTCTTGCCAGTTCCGGATGGGCCAAGTATCGCGGCCAGCTTCCATTTCCCACCTACGGCTTGCAGGAATTCTTATGTTAAGGGGCGTGGTGCCGAGAAGTTTTGACCGAAACGTGTTGAGCGAAGCACTTTTTGTCTTTCCGAGCCATGCTTTCGATTTGTCGGGAGCTGCGGGCGGTGTTGAGGGCGAGGCCCTGGCTCGCCTTGGTTTACGGCTTAGGGTTTAGGGAGTTTAGGGTTTATATAGGGTTTAGGGGGTTTAGGGTCTATATAGGGTTTATGGGTTTAGGGTTTAGGGAAGTTTAGGGTTTTGGTAGTACCTGGCAGAGAGAGCCTGGTACTGGGGTGCCGGTCTGGGCATGTGATCTTCGCGTCGGAGGGCCTTGCGCGTTGCTGGCGGCTGAAATTGACAGTTGGGTCGTGAAAACGACGAATTTTCTGTTCATGTTCCTCCTTCGTCGGTTGGTAAAGTCCCCACAAAATTGCTGCAGTACTCTGCACTGAAACTCTGTTCAACTGATTGAGGCTCCTAGATTTAGCTTTTAGGATGCCAGTTTTTTGTGTTTGGGGCGCTGAGTCAAGCACTTGAGGTCCGGAGCCTGCTTGAAGAATAACTTCTCCCATCTGAACCTAAGCCACCAAAAACCGTAGATTGCCTTGAAGGCCGTTTGGGGCCGTAACTTCTCACCTAAGGCCTGGATGAACTGAACAAGCTTGTGAGATAGATGATGCAGAAGCTCTTTCTAAGGGCTATAAGAACCTGAAATCAAGAATGCCAGCGGGTCGCTTACCCCCACACCCCCCGGGAGAATTCAAAAAGTAGATCCCGTACCCTTCAGTAGAGTAGGGCCCCAAATTAGGGGGTCCTACTTTCTAGATCTTCGGCCCAAGCCCTAGTAACCAGCACCACTATCACCCCCCAACCAGTCAAAACCCTAACCCTAAACCCTAAACCTTAAACCCTAACCCTAAAGGCCTAGTGGTGTCAGTTCCTCAGATCGCACCTTGCTCAAAGTCGCGCAAGCGAGACTGCAGGTGCTCCATCTTCACGTGCCATACCTGGGAGTCTCCAAGCACCTTATGATGGTGTCCTGTAAGGGTACTATATTTTTAGCTAAAAAGGATGCTAATTATAGGGTTTTCATCACCTAAGTATCCTTTCACCTCGGCCTGGTAGACTTAGTGGGGGCTGCTGTGCAGGCACTCGAGCCGAAGTTCTGTCTGCTTACACGTGTGCGACGGGCCGAAGGATGGAGATGAAGAAACACTCAGACAGCGTCAGACATGTTGGAGCGCAGAGCTCTGGGATTCTAGGGCTCAATGCCCGACCCAAGGTAGAACATAATCTGTGAGCAAATCTCACAAGACCTTCAGGAACCTGGACTGTTCGAGTTTAGATAAGCGCAGGGCAGACAATCGAGGGGAGTCATGGGGCTGCAATCCTCTTAAGCCGAGCACGCTGCCAAATGAGGTGCTGGGTTTTGAGCAGCGTCGCTAAACCCGAAGCAGCGCCTACTGAATGGAAGCTCGGTTACAAAAATCCGTAAACCCACCCTAAACCCTAAAC